CTCCATTATGGCCCATTGGTTTTTTGAAGCATTGGAAACATAACTAAGGACACTTGGAACAGTAATAGTGCAGAAAAAAAGTGTAACCTTTGATTCCAGAAGTTACTTCAAGGTCAGCTGTGCTGGGAGAAGCAGTCACTCTTTAAGGCATGGTGATGCTGGTTTAGCTCAGTAATGTGCCCAACAGAAACTGTTTTTTCTGTGGTCCCAAACCATTATCCCAGAGAAACCCATGAGATCCTCACCAAGATCAACTTTATTCTTGAGTCAGACTGAATTAATTGTAGGTGGTAGACACCAGGAGAGATGACTCAATGGAAGCAGTCACGGCTATTGACAAAACAGTGCAAACCACATTTCCTGTTGATAGTGGACAGAGTTATCCATGAAGGAAAACATTTATTATTGCAATAACAACAAGATTGAACTCTTTTTTAACTCATGCTTTTCAGATCCTCTAGCACTCAATGTAGTGCTTGGTATGTAATTGGCATTAATAAATGTTAATTTGTTATTGCTTTTTCTTGAATTCAGATACTACAAAGAATGTGTTCAGTGTGCCTTCTTCCCTGAAGTCTGAACATGTATGATAATATTAAGGCTTTGCATCACATTTGRTGCTTGTCTTCTTTGGTTGTTAGGAAAAGTCAGCAACATTCAGGAAATTTTTCTAGGATTGAATGTCTAACAGTTGGTTGATGGTCAATAAGCAAGTCTAAACAAACTTGTAATATTCAACACTTACCAACAGTAAAAATGTTCAATATGGGGAAATGTTCATGATATCAAGTTAAGTGAAAAATGCTTTATAACCCCCCTTTACATTCTGCACCGTGTGTGACTCTAGAAAACATGCTAAGTGAAAGAACTGAGACAACCAACCACATATTGTATGAATCCATTTCTGTGAACTGCCAGAGCAGGAATCTGTGGAGACAGAGAGTAAATTAGTGGTTTCTAGGGGCCTCAGGAGAGAGAAGGTGATGAGCAGCGACTCCTGACAGGTTTGGGTTTGTTTCTTTTTGGGGTGATAGAAGTGTTCTAGAATTAAACATTGGCAATGGTTCTACAACATTGTGAATATACATAAAACCACTGAATTGTAYACTTTAAATGGCAAATTTTGTGTTATATGAATTTTATCTCAATAAAAAATACCAAAAACTCCATGATGATATAGCCATTAAAAATGACAAGAGATAATATGATAATTCATTTGAGGTGTTTAATGTAGCTCCTGACAAGAACACAAATGTGCTCATTTGTGTTCACCATTATATTATGGTTAACTGTAATAGAATATGTAAAATAAAAACAATTTCACTTTGCAGGTATTCAAGTGAGTTGGTAGTTTGGGGTGAATTTTTTTATACTTTTTAAAAATTTCTAGTAGAGCTATTCTAATATTGCTTGTATAGTAAATACTTTTTTAAGAATTTGAAAAAAAATAAGAGTTTTACAAACCCAAGCATCTGGTTTTTGAGATATACTTCTAAGAAAGGCTTGTATTGGTGGAGCTACTCAGATCTTTGGAGAGCAAGAAAAGGATGAAAAAAAGGTCCAGATATATTGTAGTGTAAGGGCAGGATAGAGAAACCATCCTTCCATTTATCCAGCGTATACACGTTGTCATTATAGGAAGTGTCTTTTTATGCTTTTTTTTTCTCACCATTAATGTTCATCTCAGAGTAGCTCCAGGAGGGCAAAAGGGCACATGGTTAATTGCTTAMTATAGAGCCTAGTGTGTGGCATGGCCTGATAACTATTTCAATGAAAATTTAAAATATTTACCTTTGTCAATAATTCTTATTTAATCAATCCAAAATTAATTTGTGTAATGGGAAACTAGTGGGGAAAAAACACACACAAAAGATTCTAATCTCTGTCCTTCACGTCCRCTCAAACAGTAACAATGCTGCTTTCATAAATCTAAGTCAAATGCAATTCAGCTACTATCCCCAGGTTAAAAAAGTGTGAGCTCCTGAGAACAAGGACTGGTGAGGACCTGGAGAAAACAGAGAGGAAGACAGGCTGATGTACTGATATATGTTTTTTTTTCTCCTTGTGATTTCCAGTATTGCTTCCTAAATAATAATTTTTTTTTATAAACTTAGAAAGCAAATCACCCCAGAACCCTGGGGACAAGTCTGTGGGACTTGCAGTTGTTTTCTCACACAATAGAGACATAAATAGATGACATTCTGGGTRTCTTCTCTTTTAAACTTGGGTCTTTGAACTTAAGAATCCCTAGTTGATTGTTTTCTTCTTGTGTTTCTTTCTCCTCTGTGTTACTRACATATTTATATTTAGCATAAAACCTGGAGAAAGTGTGGACAGCTTTCTTGGAACTGAGATCCTGTGACCCCTATTTTAAAGTGCGGGCCCAGAGGTGCACATAGCCTCTTGGGCATCAGAGGGATCTCTGAAGGTCGCTAACTTAACTCTTTCCCCACCACTTAACAAGAGGAGTTAAAATTCATGGCCCTGCTTACATGCCTCACAATTGGTGCAACCCAAATCCCAGCCTGCTCATCTAACACCAGTGTTCTTTCCACACTATCTCTCCACCTGCTTGGGATCATCTTGCCTGTGTAGGGAAGAGAAGCTCAAAAACGGTGTCCTTGAGTCCCTTGCTAGGGGTACAGTGTTCTAAGCTACTACCTTACYACTAGGGAATTCCTCGCTGGCCTTGCCAAAGGCCTCTATAGTACTCTACCATTCAAGGAGACTATTGACCTTTACCTCTCTCAGGTGGGCATAGCCCTCTCAGGGAGGCCTAACCTGCAYACCCTTTGGAGAGGAGTTATTCCCAGCAAGCTTTAGCTTTTGAACCTTCTCCATGYACCTTAATCCAGCCCAAGGTTCCAACTCTGTAATGGGTAGGGAGGGGATGTGTCCTGTGAGATCCTGACCTGGTCTAGGGACCCAAAGATCTTCCAGGGATTATCTTCACCTTAACCTGAATCTGATATTTCCAAATTTGATTGGTYCCAGCTGAGGGCATTCACCAAACACCTCAGGTACTTGAGTATCTCGGGGCAACATCTATAAACCTCCTTAACTTGACTGGCATTTCTAATTCTTTTCAGTGTAATAGAGAAAGTTGGAGCACAATTTATAACAGTGACCTTCAAGAACAAGCTTAATAGAAAGTTTTAATTGTCAWATACAATAACGAATTTCACCTTGCAGTTTACCCTTGATTGTTTTTAAACTACTCCAAGTTACAACTCTTTTGTTTCTCCCGTAAAAACCCATATTTCACTGGAGTCTGAAAAMAATAGTAAGTACTTTTCTTTCTAAGCACACTGCATTCATTTGGATGGAGATGGGTAGAGGCAGTTCATCCTTGGKAATACAAACCCTGAGGTTGGGCATAACATAGGGCTTTTGTGGCTGTTTTTTTTTTTAAACACAAACACATCTTTATTTTTACATATTGAAGTTTCTTTGACATTCAAGCCAAAAATTTATTTGAAGCAATATAAATAGCATGAGAGAGATTTTTTTTTTRAAAAAACAATCTTGAGCATTATGGATTGTCTTTATGGCATAAGTATATGCATATAGAACAATTGAACCCAGACAATTAATAAAGCAGGAAAGAAGTATATAATGCATTTTTAGTTTACTTAAAACATTTTGAATCAACCACTCAYGAGTTTCTAACAGTAGGTTTTAATATATGAACTAAATTAGAGGGGTAATAGATTTGTTCTTTGTCTTAGCTACAATTTGGGAAACATTTATGACCAGAAATGCATTCTGTCTTATATGCACAAATAAAGAGATCAAGGAAAAGATAGAATATGTAGGAAAACAAAATTAAGGATACATTTAAAACACAAAATGCACCAAGTGAGAGGTTCATGTATTTGGTCTGAACCTCACTGGTGGGTAAAGGAGGAATACCTGAAATTAAATGGAAATTCTAATATTGATTATAATTCATATTTCTTTTCATTGTCCTACAGTCAAATTTTCACTAGATGATAATTTGAGTTTATGAATTTGCATATCCAGTTATATCCTCTTTGACTTTTCCTGCCATTTAATCATTTTATTTTCAGTTAGCATCACTCATCAGAGGTTAGTGAAAGAAAAAAGATATGAGTCATCCCAATTCATTTATTTTGTGGTTTAAAAAAAAGTGTATATGTGTATATTGTGGGGAGAGGTACAAGGATTTAGAACAGTTTGAAATATGATGAAGAGGATATTGAAATTTTGTGAGTTTAGTTATCAAAGTTGTCATTAAATTGTTTCCTGCACACTTCAWATAAGCATCTTGTTAAGGCAGAATTTCAGGGAATATATAACATTTCTTAAAAGTGAATATACCCCTGTAGTCAATTTTATGTATAAGAACTCAAGATCACAAACTTCATAAAATGGCTCTYGATCGGATAAACTGGAGCATGCCATTACTTAGAAATAACTGGACAGAATGCAAACCAATGAAAACATAGTTGTCAGTAATATAATAAATGTCAAATCAATATAATATTAATTTGCTATTGAAATTACAAAAGTTGCATTAACAGAAAAGCATCACAAAAATTCATCATTAAAAGTGCCTATAACAAAACTATGAGAAAATACAAGTGGATATGCAAGCTATGAAATATGTAAAATGTCTCTGCTGWTAAATAGAATAAGGTGGTTTGTAAAAATAAAAGTTATACTGGTTTTTCTAAGATGGTGGATCACTTTCTTTTCTACAATATTCTTTGATATTTTGTGATTATTATATATAGAATTGATGGGAAAGAAATGCAAACCAAAGCTTTTATGTGAGAATTTTTTTTTACAGATTAATCGACTAATGTTTACCTTCAACTTATTTCCTTTTAAAATACATTTTTTTAAAGTCTAAATTTTACAAATTCATGAGTGATGTCTTCTTGCCATTAAAGTTTTCAGTTTGGGGGATAGTTTCCCATTAAAATGTAGATGGGAGAACTCAGCAATGTTCCTCTTTTTTTCCTTKTTTTTCTTAGGCATTGCCATAGGAGTCTTAGTTCGAGAATACAGCAAGCTCTCGAATCTGGAGAAATTCTACTTTGCTTTTCCTGGAGAAATTCTAATGAGGATGCTRAAACTCATCATTTTGCCATTAATTATATCCAGCATGATTACAGGTACCTTGATGTTCTCTATGATTCTTAAAGGAGTCCAGCAGAATCTATGTTGTTCTTTTCTAATTATGGAAAATTGGAATGCAGTAGAGGCATCACACAAATCACCCACTCATATACACTCCTCACTTGGAAAGTGTATATTTGCTTAGGTGAAAACATTTCCTTGGTGTCAGAGTGGTATGGTTTTGTCGTGGTGCTATTCCTCTAGCACTGTCTCAAATCTTCATTTGTTCAACAAATGATGTCTTTTGAGGGGGATGCTGTTTCAAATATATTGTAGATAAAACTCCATCTGGGGCACAGAAGTGGGGAAAAGGCATTTTGGTCCCTGAAATGTCAGCTAGTGTCCTCAGGGAAATTGTGGTTGTCAATTTTGATCATGTTTTCAGTAATTCACTCATTTGTTTCCCAGCTGCAGCTGAGCTCTCTCAGCAGCTGCCTTTAGGGTCTCTGTTCCCTACTCCTCGCCTACTTCTGCTCCTCCACAGGACTCAGAATTTGCTACATACCTGTCCTGCAAATTTGCCAGGGGGCCAGCAGCCAAGTACTGTGGAAAAGACCTAAGTATGGGTTTGTACCATATTTTACAAGGCCAGCATTTTTAAACTTGTGACACAGTTGGATCTGAAAATGACTTTTCTCTTATTGGTCATTATATTGTAGGATTTCTTCAAAGAGAAGGAATTCCAAACCATAATTGAATACATAAATAAAGATTATTAAATGGTCTTTTTAGGTTTCTAATAAGCTAAGAACACYAAGGCCATTTACGAACAAAGAGAAGGGATCCTATAATATAATTCTACAATATATCTCCTTATCTGGATAGAGACTAASCTGATTGACAAAAATGCCATTTATCTGGAAATGGTATGCTGCCATATGCATTCCATCACTGCTATTTCAAATATATTGTAGATAAAATTCCATCTAGAGCACAGAAGTGGGGAAAAGGCATATTTGGTCCCTGAAATGTCAGCTATGCAGTATGCATTTCATCACTGCTTGTACTTATCTCAATTCTGGCAATTGAGAAAATGTGGCATGACATTAGTCACTTCTGTTGTCAGCTTCAAAATCAAGGTTTATGTAACCATGTAATTAGGAGACTTGTACGTCCTCTTCTAGAACACTTTTCTCCACTGCCACTGAAAAGATCTGATCTTGTCCAAAACATTGGCCAGGAGGAAGGGAGGAATCTGCTGCATTCAGTAATTGCATTGAGTGAAAAGCTGCCACATTTGACCAATGAACTTCACAAGAGCGAAACTCCAGTMAGACTTGAGTCCCTTGGGAGCTTTGTTCATAAATGGTCTTGGTGTTCTCAGCTTATGAGAAACCTAAAGAGAACATTTAATTATCTTTATTTATGTATTTAATTATGTTTTGAAATGCCTGAGTTCTTTCAAGCCTCACAGCCTCAGGAACAAATCAGCATATTAGTTGTTTCTCCCACATGATTTTTATTTTCATATTATTGGAAGCATTTAAATTTGGAAGAATTTTGTATAAATATACAGATTTCTGGATTTTTCTGGAAAAAAATTAAGATCTAGATACACCATTCATACACACCAACAGCCATCAAGAGCCAAGAGACAGTGGTTCCATTTAATTGGAGGAAATACATTTGAGGATGCCACAGTCCCCACCATTYCATATTCCTAACACCCTGTCCACTTCTCTCTTTTATATTTGCTGACTGGTTCCTGTAGGCACTGCAGTTATAACACCTTAGAAATTTTCCCCATATCAAAGATTCTAAATCTTTTTTTTCTTTTTGTACTCTTTCAAGAGCAAAATGAGAATCTTGGATTCTCTCCTAAGGAAAATATTCACAATTGTACACATATAAGATATTTTGCATACTTTTACATATTTTGCACGAGATTCAAAAGCTGCCTGATGAGTGACATCATTTAATTCTTGTTTCTATTGGGAAAGTAAAGAAAGTTAATCCAAATTAAGCAGCAAACTCAAACTCATGTAGTAATCCAGGTTCTAGAAGAAAAGGTAAAAATACATGTATGAATATACTAGATCTATAATGTTGGCTATTTGAAAATATGGGCTGTTGGGAATCACTTAGTGATATGTATTTCAGGCTGGCTGTTTTGTGTATAGCTCAGCTTTGTAAATAATCTAGGGAAATAAATTATAATTCTCAGTATTTTAGTAACTTAGCTCAGCTATTTTTCAAAGCCATAGCACAGATTCTGGTAGGTTCTATACCTTTCCTTTACCAAATCCCCAGTAGCTAGTCAGGAGCTAAAGAGAAAGAAAAACCACTACTCATTCTTTTGAGTAGTGACAATGAAATGGTCAGAGATTCCAGGGACATGAGCAAAAGCAGAATTGGGAAAATGGTGCCACTTTCACGTTTAAAATTGTCAGATTAAAGGGAAAAAGTGGCAGTACTAGTATTGACAATGATGTGGGAAAATTCATACACTTTCATTTCCCATCAATATTGGAACAAACTTTCCGGAAAGGTGGTTTAGAACATGTTCTGATCTTTCCACCTGGTAATTCTACTTCATAGGATTTATCATAAAGAAATATACAGAGAGATATTCACAGATTTAGGTACAAGAATATTCATGGTAGCATTTTAAAAAATAATGGCAATAAATTATAAGCAATCTAAATATGTGGTATACCCATAAGTTAGGATACTGTGCAACAATTAAAAACCTTCTTGGATACATATTTAGTGATAAGTGGAAATTCTCCTAATATGCACCCAGTGGAAAGATAAAACAAATTACACAACATGATGTTGTAYAAAAGCCAGGCTTTTGTAAAATATGTATACATTTTTAAAAGTTGGGTTAAAACCRATAGGTTAACAACGGTTCAATCTGGATAGTAAGAAAACATGATTCATTGAACTTTCATTACATTTTCAAGGTGAACATGTGTTATTCTGTTTGTCTTGTTTTGTGTTTTCCCCTTTCTTTTGTTTAATGGCAGAAAGTGGGATGAATTCTACTCTGCGCTCCTCAGACTTTGCCTCTGGTAATTCCCCTACTCCTCTTCTCTGAGTTCTGCTCCCTGTCCCTGCCAGCTCAGTGCCCCTTTTAGCCTGGTGTGCAGGTCATTCATCCCAGCCCTGCAGCATCATTCCATTTTCCCACCCAGATGATGGCATGGAGAATTCACAGGAAGGGCAGTTTTCACATTGCAAAAGCCTTGGAAAACCCAGCAGGTCACTAGCCTAATTGGTACATTTATTAAGCCAAAGGAGGATGTTGTGGAAGCTATGCAGATTGAATGCATCCCTCAGGAATACCTGAATTAGAGGAATAAATACYGCTAACACTGAGACCCAAGACTAATAATCTGTGCTCCTGAATATTCCTTGCCAAATTAACAGGTAAAAAAAAAAAAAAAAAGGCCATGAARGCCTCTGGTGACATAAAAATACTTATTACTTTATAGCTGTTTTTTTTAATAGGATGATAGTTTTTTAAAATAGGATGATAGTTTTTAAATAGGATAATTTATAAGAAGATGATGTTAAGAAACTATCTTAATCAGGTAAATTTGAATATAGGCTTGATATTAGGTGATATCAAAGATTTCTGATCATTTTGTTAGAGATGATAATGGCATAGAGTTAATTAAGGAAAATGTTCTTTTTTTAAAAATGCATGTGGAATTATGTGGGGATGAAATAACATAATGCCTCATATTTGCTTTAAAATAGAAGAATGTAAAAGAGAAGGCACACTTAATATAATCTAAAGGCATTTTCAGAGACAGACAGATAGTGGGGGCACTAACAGAATCTTCTCCATGACTTACATTCTAAAAAAACCACCTTTCTGCCATGGTGAGGATGATCTGTGCTTGGGCCCTTTTAACATTTAGGTTTCTAAGCTGTATTTATGTCAAACCACCAGCAAAACAAAAAGAGGAGATGGCTTGTAGATATGCCTGAGTACTGTGACTCTGGAAAAATACTGGCCCAGGTCTTAGTAACCATTGAGTTTCAATTCAAGTCATAGTACCYTAATTATTCCATTTGGTGGGGCAGGGGAGGGGTGGGTACTGGGGATTGAACTCGGGGACACTCAACCACTGAGCCACATCCCCAGCCCTATTTTGTATTTTATTTAGAAACAGAGTCTCACTGAGTTACTTAGTGTCTTTTGCTGAGGCTGGCTTTGAACTCAGGATCCTCTTGCCTSGGCTCCCTGAGCTGCAGAGATTAAAGGTATGTGCCACTGTGCCAGTGCCCAGCATAGTACCCCAGTTCTGATGACCAGAGCCTCTTGTGACCAGCACAGGAACAGAAGAGCCCCTCCAGTCCCACTCCAAGATTCCCCTGCATATGCCCCTGCTCTTAGCCATACTCTTCCATTCATACTGCCTGGGCCGGAAGTGCTCCAGGGCACTACGGCGCCCCCTGGTGTCTGCTGTGATTGTCACACCTCTCTGTTCATTCTTAAAAAGGAGCAACTGCTTAATTCTCCATGGTGTGGGTAAGGGCAGACTGTTACATAGACCAGAGAATTACTAAAGGTTTGGGGGTGACCAAAAGCAGATGAAATACAAATGGAGACATCAAGCTGCTCCCTGAAAGGGATCTTCCAAGGGTCCTAGAGTTCCTTAACAGGGATACCCCWCTGTTTAGTTGCCAACCTGCCTCCAGGAAGCTGGTGCAGTTTATGTCTCCAGCCAAGCACTGCTGCACCCCAGGCCCCAGCACCTGACACCAGGTTCTAAGAAGGAAGAGCTTCACTACCACATAGGCCTTCCTGTCCTGACCCAAATGCAATTATTTCCTCTAAAGCTTGCCATTGTGGAATACCTACTCCAGAGAAAACCTTGCAGGCCCAAGGGGTAGGTCTTACCTTATGAGCTCCATCAGGGAACATAGATAGAATTGGCACACTAGTTGTACCTTTTGGATTATTGCCTTCCCATCCAGCCCATAGAACTTGGAGTCTGACCAGGTCAGGATGAGCCAAGTCCATGCTGGTTCCTGTGGGCAT